TGGTACTCAGAAGAATGGATTTTATCTTGGTGGTTATGGGTTTTTTGCTTCAGTTTTATTTTGTTGTAAAGCCTCCACAATAATACAATTCAGTGACATGGTGGTTTAGGGTTTGATTTCTGCTAGGTCCAAAAATAAGACTCAACAAGCTCATTAATGAAGGGTACTAGAAGCCCTGACTGCAGGCAGTGTGTGCTGGACATATCAACTCAGATCAATTGCTCATTGCCCTCCATTTCAGAAACCCGAACCCCAGTAAAATTGTATGAAAAAGCACAGCTGTGAACTAAATTTATCATTTGCAGCAAGCATTCACCATGAGGGCTAAAAGAACATAAGAGAGAAAAAATCACTTTTCCCTCAGTTAAGTGTGCAAGACATTGGGATGTGCTGGCAGGAAAACAAACTGCATTGCAGGAGAAATAAATGAGGCATTCCCTCTGATGTGTGGGGCTTAGAGGAGGGGCATGGAGAATTATGCAGTTGGAAGACAGTTCCAGAAGAGATAAAACAGATGAAATGCATAATGATTTTCAGAAAGAAATTCTGTTTTGTACTGGAAATGGAATACTGTGTAACTGAGCACAACTGTGGTAGGTCCTATTTATTTAAAAATCATCAGTATATCCAGATAACAAAGTCTATTCACACATGTTGCTATGGTGACAAATTAATGTCATTGTCACTAGCTGCCTCTGCCTGATCAGATAATCTAATATAGCTGGTTTTAATTATTATCACAGTACAGGCATAACTACTTTTCTGTTTTAAAATTTGGTGTTTTGCCACCATGGAATACAAGCAATTCAAAGAGGCTGTCTGAAGCATCTCTGCTGAAGTAGAGAACCAGTTTTGTACTCCCCTTTTCTGTTACTGTTCCTATTTTTATATCCATACTCGGGTCAACAGTGAGTAATATTCAGCTCCTTAATCTTCTGACAGAGAAAGAACTTCTTGATAAATTGTTGTTTCACTGGGATGATTTGCCAATTTATTTTCTCCAGTTTGTTCACATTCTTCCTTGCCATGGCATCAGTCAGAGGATGAGAAAAAGGCAGAGGCATTCAGTTTACAAAGAAGCCCATTTCAGATGCCACAGAGAGCCCTGGGCCAGTTGATGCCAGTTTAAACACTTCCCATTTCTGCCAAGGATAGATGCTTAGTCTGATGTCTTTCTGGGACTCTGGCAGGTTCTTGCACTGCCTCATAGCAAAATATTTAGAATGTAGTGATATCAATCTCCAGAGACAACTGATCCTGTACAAGCAGGTAATCATCCTGAATTCCCTTGACTTCTTGTTTTTATGTACTCCTTCTTTGTGACCAAATCTATCTTGGAAGGGAAAAGCCTCACTATGGACTCTTTGTAGCTATCTTTTTAGTATTTAACACTGCTCTATTTTCTCTGATGCTTGCAGAGTGAGCAGAAAGATCTGGTAATACTAACCAGGATGTAGAATATCTCTGTGCACATTTTATGTACTTTATGTCAGAAAACAGTCCTTTCCTGGAGGAACTTCAGAGCAGACTACCTCTCTCCCATTTATACTGGTTCATTGAGTCTAAGAGTTTTCTAATTCTCTTGCTTAAATAAAAAGAGGTTTATAAAGTCTAGTGATCAATGTAATGCTGCTAAGACTATTTGAGGAAGGTGCATGCCAGCCTGCCTGTCCAAGCATACAGTATAGAGCAATTACAAGAAGATATGTACTTCTTAAACACAAAAAGATCTCATCTGCTCACTGAAATGCTTAAGTAGTGGGACAAGGAGGAAAAGATCTGACAGATTGTGAGAGAAGGTACTGAACATGTGCTAGGTAAACCAGCAAGAAGGCAGCAACTCAAGGATAGTCCTTTGAGCAAGTACAGTTCTATTTTTCCATAAAAAAACCTTGGAGTGTCCACAAATCAACAATATCTCTCATGTATCCACTGAGAGAAGGCTTTTCCCTATGTTGTCTTTAGGAAGTGGAGCCTGGGAAAGAGAGAATAAAGAAAGATTCTTTCTGTTCTCTTGAATAGTTCAAAAAGGTTAAGTATGGTTGATGCAAGTCTCTGCATAGTAGGCTTAGATTGAGTTTTGTTATCTTTTTCCAAACCTGATGCTTGTCCCTTGAGCCATGCTTGAATCAAGCAACAGACAGTGTCTACATTCTGATTTCAACTGTCATATTAAGGAACTGTACTGGAAGAGAATTTGCCTAAGTACTGCAAATAACAAAAATAGCAATTAAGTACCAGTAGCAAATACACCTTGATATTGAGGCAAGTTCCTAGGAACAGCCTAATGCAATGCAATGTAAAATTCCTTTACCTTTGCTCTGAAAGGCAGCGTGATGATTGTCTGCAGAAGGAGATATATCTGCAGCCCACTTCAGTTTCAGAATAGTGTCTCTTATCTGTCTAGCCAGGTCATATGAGGAAGCTCTGTTCACCATTAATTACAGGGGATGCAAAGTAAAGACTCTTAGGTTTGGGAGAATTGCAGGATAAAGTTTACTTGTGTGTCTTAAATTGGGCAGTACTGGACTGCATGATAATTTATTTCATTTTGCTTCCAGTATTGAAGGTGTAAGGTTTTACTGTGCACTGTTGGAAATCTCAGTGAATACAGAATTGTTGGCATTCTCGTGGGCTTTTTTTATACTGCTTGTCATGGTACTATCAGATTATGTTGCATGTGTTAACTAGACATCTGTAAGATGAGTGCTGATTACCCCGTTTGCACATGCAAAACTCTCCTTTTGTTAGCAGTTTTGTCTGCTTGGAACAAAACTTGATTAATTTCTGTTGGTAAAAGAGTTAGTTGTTTTTGCCAAAGTCTATCCCAGAAGGCCAACCTGGTGTAGACAGCTGGCATGGAATTTTTTTCCCTGAGCTTGTTAGCATGGTAAAACCAAAGCATGGCTGAAATCAGATATTTTATAAGCAGAACATTAAGGCATTGTTGTGGATAAGCCACATACTGGCTCTGCTTACAGCAAGGCATTGTTCATCCCATTAACCATTGATCCAGAGTGAAGTGAGAGTGGATGTCCATGGAATGCCATAATCATGTTGGCCCTGAATCTGTGAGTAAAACTGAGAAAGATGGAGAGATCCAACTATTATGTTTGCTATGAATTACCAGTTTCTTAGGGATATTGGTGGATCTTTGGAGCTTTTTTTTTTCCGTTTTCCCCCTCCACACCAGGAGAACTGATGGAAGGCAAGACTGCTGCTATTGGTGAAATCATTATGCTTCAAAAGTGGCTTTCAGTAAAACTCTTCGTCATCTTTCCCATTAAAATTGCTGCTGTGTCTTCAGAGGATGTTGGATGCTTTCTTTTCTTCATAACTGTTCCCTAAAGGGAGTAGTGCAGCTCTGCTTTTCACCTCTGTACATTCAGCTCTCTGCCTGCTTCTGATCAGGTGTTACTGACTGTGCAGCTGGATGAAATGTTACTGTACACCACTGGCACAAGCAACTCTAGTTTCCTGGGAAACAAGTGCCTTCATTAGTGCTAAGACTATATTGTAGGCAACAAACTATTCTTACTGTTAGTGAGTAAGCATCCCCTATTACATAAAAATAGAGCCCTGCAATTTGGGAGAAATTATTACACAATGAATTACTGAAATTATAGATAATTTGCAATGTAAGAGCTTTTAAGTTCTGGATGGGGTGAAGTAAATGCAGGAAAAATACATTTGTGAAGGGGAAGAAGAAATCCCACATCTCTGTAATGCTTGTAAGTTTGGGTCTGAGGGGTAACTTCCAGTTGTTCTGGGTATTTTAGCTACTGTTCCATTTCAAATGCTTGTAATAGTTTATGAATTCACAGCTATATGTGGGTTTTTTTTATTTTCTGTTCCAGATCTGGAGTCCCTACAAGCAGCCTGACTGCACAGGGGACCTGGATGGTAGAATTGAGGATGATTCACGTTGCCTCTACACTCATGAAGAGTACATCAGTCTTGTGTTGAACAGTGGCAGTGGTTTGTCCCACGATTATGCCAACCAGTCAGTCCAAGAAGATCCACGAATGATGGCCTTTTTTGACTCTCTGGTGCGCAGGGAGATCGAGGGCTGGAGTTCTGATTCGGACAGCGACCTCAGTGAGAGCACAATCCTGCAGCTCCATGCAGGAGTAAGTGAACGCTCTGCTTACAGTGAGTCGGAGTCCTCCACCTCTTTGCATCACTCCCCACCACATGTGGCTGAAGAGTCTGATGAAACTGCCTATAACTTAAGGGCCTTAAGATCAACTGCATCCCCCTCAGCCAGAGAAGACGTGGCTTCCCGTCAGCAGAGGCTCTCTGCACTGAGGAAGTATCAGGACAAACGTCTCCTGGCCCTTTCCAATGAGTCTGACTCTGATGACAATACCTGTGAGGCAGAACTGGACACAGACCTTTTCCCACGGCCACCGTCCCCGAGCCCCGAGGAGAACGAATCCAGCAGTTCCAGCAGCAGCAGCAGTACGGAAGATGAAGAGGAACTGAATGAAAGACGCACATCAATGAGGCAACGCAACGCGCTGAGGCGCCGACAGAAGGTGCAGAAGGAGGAAAGGACTAGCACTAACACGGAGAATGTAACCCCCTACATAGGTGAGGACATCTATGATTACCCCCAGATCAAAGTAGATGATCTTTCTTCTTCTCCAGCTTCTTCACCAGAAAGGAGTTCAGCCAACAAAGAAGTTCTCAGAGAAAGGACATCCCCTCGTTCAGACAGTGAATCGGTGGAGAGAAAGATTTATAAAGCTTACAAATGGCTTCATTATTCTTACATATCCTATTCAACTAGTAAAGATGGTGAGTCCTCCAGGGGAGATGGAGAGAATGACGAAGGGAAACCAGGAACCAGTGGACGGCACAGTACAGCATGCTCAGTGACTAAGGAAGATGCTAGGAACTTAAGTTCAGTAGCTCCTCAAGGTTCCTCAGCTCTTTCTGCTGAAAGCCACAACAGAGAAACTTTAAAAGAATGTGGCATGATAGAAAATTCTAGTAATGGTCAAGGTCATGAATGTGACAATCAGCGGTGGATGGAGGGTCAAGAAAACACATCTGAAGACACTAGCAGTGGAGGTATAGAGCATTCTTTTGAGACTAAAACGCTTAATGGAAAAGCTAACTGCAAAGGGCTCAACAGTTGTACTGAAGAACCTTGCATTCAGACTGCAGCACTTGTGGAACAGAAAACCAGTCAGAACTGTCAACCAGCATCCAGCCATCACTCACTGGTCCCTCCGTTCTCTGCTGTCGCCATCTGTAGCATGTCAGGTCACTGCTCCAGAAACCAGACTGATGGCAGTGAGGAGAGGAACCTCGACACCTCCTGTGTTAACCACAATAATGGCCACTTGCATCTTCACCCGTCATGCTTCAACAACGGACAGAGTTTTGGAGAGCAGGAGACTGTGACGCAAGGACTACAGGTGCACTCAAACGCTGATAATGGCAACCTTGTACAGGTGGGTGTGACCTTGCACAAAGACTGCTGCCTGTCTGAAATGGACTCCAACAGCTACAATGTGAGCACAAGAGAGGACACTGCTGACCTGCATCCTGTGGGCAGTGAGAGCACTCAATCTCTTGGAGGACTGAAAAGACACAGAGCGGAGTTGGAAGATGCAGATTCAGAGAGTTCATCCTTAGAAAAGAAGTTAAAAACATGATAAATGCAAATGTCTGTCGTAGTGTGCACTCTCTCAAAAGAAAAGGAAAAAGAAAGTATTAAAGGCACATAGAGCTTGGGTCTGAAACATTGCGTTTGATTCTCCATTCCATTCTTCAGTGGGTCTGTTTTAGATTGCCAGTGGTTCATGCTGTATAAAAATCCAACTTGCTCCTTAATGAGACTGAGTCTAGTGTACCCATACAAGGTTCTGTTTAAAGTAAATCCTTATTAAGACGGTTGACTGAATTATTCTTGTGTGAACATGTGTCATTTGTTCAGCCAGCCAACCAGGATGACTCCTTTAAGTTTTAATTGCTCTTCTAAGCAGGAAGTTTTCCTTACTGACACTCAATACACATTGCAGGCTGAAGAATGGTGCTATTAGATCACACTGGTGGTAGCTTGGGATGTGCCTAGTGTTGAGGAAACCAGGGAAGAAGCTTTTTTGGGCCCTATATTCTGCTTCACAAACTAATGCAATGCAACCATTAGGGAGGATATTTTCAGAACTAGCTGGTATCTTTAGAGATACTTCATAAAGCACTTGCTTCTGATACAGTTCAGTGACATTATTTTTATGCCAACAGAAAAGCTATAGGAAATGAGCCTCTTTCCAAAATCAACTTTAGACTGTTCCCATGGTGACATTCAATTTTGTGGTTTTTTTTTTAAAGAAAAGAACTGAGTAACACAGTGTCATTGCTGTACTGAAATGTGCTTGTTTGGCAAGAGGAAGGTGTAGGTCTCATGATAACCAAGGGCTATTAAAAAGTCAGGCATTGAAACATTCTTTTCTGTGATCTCAACACATAGAGATGTTTTAATTATTATTATGAAGAATATGGTTCTGAGTGTGGGGATGTATCTTTACGGGGCCCTCCTCTTCCCCCATGTTCTTACTTTTAGGAAGCAGTAGGGCCATCAGACAAGAGCAGGAGGATGCATAATGTAACAGATGCATGTCAACAGCAACACTTGGTAAAGTCTGAACACTGTTGTTTTAGAAATTTTCTTAGCCCAAAGCTCCAAACAGGTTAGGATTAGAGATCAAGTTTGGTTTTCCACCTCTGTGCTGCTAATATTTAAAACTGCAGATGGGTAGATGTGTTCAACAGAGTTGTGTATGTAAAGGAGAGCTTCAGGGCAACGTCCCCACCTGTGGGGAGACTGGGTCACCATGTCTGGCAGGCAGAACTTGTGCAAGAGCTCTGCTACACTACTGGAGCAGCGTTCAGGTGGACAGTCCTTTCTTGCCTGGGTGTGGTTTTTAATGGATTATCTAGTGAGTCATCTCACTTCTGGCATGTTGGAATTGGTGGAATTGCACTTGCTTCCCTAGCAACAAGGTAAGAGGAGTCATTGTGTGAAGGCAAAACAAACCACCTATAAAGGACATGAAAATTATGTGTATGTGCCTTGCAGTGCTGACAATAGAAAAAGAGGCTTCTTTTGACCCCAGTGATTGTCACAGGCTTTCAAGCCCAGTACTGAGTTTGTTTTAAGGAATAGGAGATTTTTGCTTTTGATACAATTCTAGCAGTACACTGCTGTAGAGCACTGGCCTCAGAATAATTTTTTTTATATGCAGACCTCCCTGGCACCTGGGGAAGGTAGGAAGGTGCCCTGCTAAAACATGATGAAAGTAGAGGAGCACTTCAGAAGGGAGGGAAAGGTATGGGAGGGAAACATTGTCTGACAACTACTGTGTGCCAGAGGCTGTTTGCCCACGCTGGGTCTGCTTTGCTGAGAACTTGGAATAAGCATATGATACAGTGTTCAAGAAGCATGTAAGGCAGCTGAAAGGCAAAGGGGTGTTGGCAAACACAAGCAAAAGTGGTGATAAGAGTAAGCCTTGATGCATTGTTACCTTATTGAAAATACTGTTCTGTACCGGTTATATTTTACATCGCTGCAATCAAAGACCACATAGGAGTGTTCTCCTTGGCTGTAAAAACACCTTATTGTAAATGTTGGATTTAGCCAAAATTTTGAGGTTGGTGAGTCAAAACACTTCTGTTGCATTTTTAAAAAGTACTTTGGAAAATTTTCTCATCTGTCACTGCTGGTGAATGAGCATCTCTACTCTCCTTTGACATGGTCATCTTTTCAAAGTGTTTTCTCAGATGCCTTGTGGTCTCACTTGCAGGTTCTTTTGTTTTTAGAAGCAGAATAAAAGCTCCCAGATTTGGTGTTAGGGAATCACAGAATGGCTAAGGTTAGAAGAGTAATGCAAATAGCTGCAACAGCTCAATTGATGTGTGCACATGCACATAGTTCTTCAGGAATTCTTCAATAAGCTAATCGTAGCACATACATAATTTATAAAACACATCAGCACACTTCTGCAGCTGTGTCAGGGTACACTAATTAGCCCAACTAATGCTATATGGATACGAGCAAGAACTCTGTTTCAAACATCTGGGAAAATGGCACGTTTTCAGGGGGAGGAAAAAATCCCTTAAAACTAACACCCCACTCCACAAAAAAACCCCACACTGGTTATGGCAGGCTCTAGGTTTGCTAAAGTTTTCTTCAGTGGTTACACGGGTGAAAAGCAGAAAAATCCCAGATATAAGTGTGGTCTGTGGTCACAGGGAATAAATAATCTGAATTTGATGTTTGTACTTTGCCTGATTTGAGACAAGGACTTGAACTTGGGCCTCCTGCCTTTCTCTTGAGCATCCTAAGCATCAGCCTATTGCATTATTCAGTTGTAGGGTTTGTTCTTCTTTTGTCTGAAATGCAAAGGGAAAGGAAATGGAAACAGTTGCACAAATACCTGGAGCTGAGCCTTGAGCCCAGCTTTGTTGGTTTATGGTTTTCTGAGAAAATGCTAGAGGATTCTTTCTCCCATCTCCACCTCATGTGATCTCTATTCCAGAGAGCCAGAGACAGATGCTGACACAGCCTTGTATGCATGCCATTTGTCTTGAACATGAGAGAACGGTCCTTTCCAAATTGGGCAGAGTGGGTATGATTTTATTTTATCTTTTGTTACTAGTTTCCTCTAGACATGTAACACCTAACTCCTGACTAAGTGGCCCAAGCCCATGAGCTGTTCGTTCAGGGATATGTCCAGCAGGCTCAGCTCCTCTGTGTCATGAATATTTTCCTGTTCATTTCTAGTCCCGTGTCAGCCAGCAGCTCTGGAGCAGCTGTGCAGATGTAGGTTGGCATTGTCGCTGCTTTCAGAGCGGAGTGGGGTTGCCCTTTGCTGAAGCTGCCATTTGCACACTGGCTCTTTTGAAGTATGTGGTGAGAATGGGTAAAAACACTTTGTATGTTCCTATAAACAGGAAAAAAACTGGCTGAATTTGAACTTTTGAAGGGGGACCAGGTCCCTCTCAGCCAGACGATGCCTCTGGCTATATGTCTAGCACTTTCGTGATCAAATGCTATGGGAGTTGTTGGTTTCTAAGTGTAATGTGGTCTCAGGACCACATTACTATGAGTCAGTGGTGTGCAGCATTTTACTTCACAAACCACAGCTTCTTATTAGCATCATTAACAGCTGAAAGCACCAGCTCCTACACACTTACAGGGTATGCATTCTAGCCATTTCAAAATGGTCAAACTATATGATCTTTGGGAAAGTCTTGTGTGTCAGTGTGCTCCTTCCAGAACAAAGACTTGAAAGGGTTGACTTTTCTGAAAGAAAAACTTGCTGCAAGAAAAGCCTAATGCATATTTTCAAAGGGCTTTGGCCCCACATTTGAGGTTCAATACTCATGAGATAGTTTGAACTGTTTAAAATGTGGATGTATGGCAGAAAAGGAAACAGCAAAGGGCTTTGGCCCCACATTTGAGGTTAAATACTCATGAGATAGTTTGAACTCTTTAAAATGTGGATGTAGGGCAGAAAAGGAAACAGTGTGAGCTTCAGAACTGAATTCTATCAGGAAAGGGAAAAGGAGTTGAAATGTATTTAAAAACAAACAAATAAACCCCTCATGCCCTAAATACCAATTAGATTCTGAATAAAAGTTCAGCACCTGCTTCAAAGTCTGGCTTTTAAAAGCCTCAGCAAGTATGTTAAAGGAATTGACTTATCACACTTGAGCTTTGGACAGCTGCAAATCTCTGATCTGTAGAAGCTGAGAAGCCACAGCCAGGCCTCACATCACTCTCTGACTGGGCTGGGCACAGGCAGCTTACCCAGTCAGGGTCACTTCTCCCACCTGCAGCCAGCCTGGTTGGCAGCAGCAGGGCTGCCCCTGGCTGACCAGCTCATTCTGACTCTTGTTTCTACAGCTGCCTGGTTTAGCTTCACGTGGCCTGGGACATGCTGAAGAAACATCTCTAGAGGAATGCATTTTGGGTTTAGTTCATGCCTACCTTTGTATGTCAGAGGGAAGTTCTGGGGCTGCATTCAGGGTGAACTTTATGCAGCCTATTAAAATGAGGAAAATTAGTACAGGAAAATTAATGGAGGAACAGAGAAGTCTAAGGCATGAGCCTCCTCTGACTCTTCCCCTTCCTGAGATTTGTGTCTCCTTGAGAAATCATGTACCTTTTTCTTCTCTCTAGGACCTAGAGAGGCTTCCAGTGTTGGGTGCCTAGAAAGCAATAATGAAACTTCCTAACTCAGGAAGTTGCATTGCTCTGCTTCAGTGACATTTCCAGTATATTATGGCCAGATCTGGCATTTCCTGGCTTGGATTATATCCTCGAATGCAATTTTCTCCGAAGCATGAGAAAAGTCTGTTTCCTACCTAACTAAGCTTTGGAGGGAGAGAAAGGAAAAAAGGCTTCAATAGTCTTGGAATGAAAGGATGTACATGCTTCAAGCTGGTTATAAGCCCTCTCTTCCCAAAGTTTGTCTCTCACACATGCTGCCTCTGCTATGCAATGCATTTTTCTGCATGCAGGACAACAGCATCAGCCCTTCATTTCCTTTAATTCAGGGACTGAGAGTGATTCAGCATGTCCAACAGGGCAGATCTCTAGTCTTCCCATAAATAAGCTTTTTTTAACTTGTAAATGTTTCTGATGATGTGG